TACAGCCTATGAAACTCGCTGGGTAGACTTTCGACGCGGGCGGAAAATAGGGAGCGGGTTGGATGACTTCCTGCAAAACACCGGCTGGCTGGGAGGTCAGAAGACTTTCTGCCACATAGCTGTTTGAAGTGTGTGCGGACAAATTGTTCAACAGCAATGGTCTGTCGAGGCTCACAGAGGCGTTGTTATAATCTGGGAATGGGACCCGTACGCTTTTGTGTCTATTGTTCAACACGAACGCAATGGAGTGCACTAGATATGAAGCTGCATCCAATGTAGAGCGTTCTGATTTGTAGGCACAATGATTGACATCATTAGTACGAAGGTTTGTGCAAATACAGGGGATCAGTAGATTTTCCGGTACGTTTATCAGCATGGAAGTGCACGCAATTGATCGACATTTTTGCGATACCTTTTAGTTACTGGTGTTATTCTGGCTTGCTTCCAATTGTCGGGGACGGTACCAGTCGTTAAGCACCGACTCATGATCTCTATCGCGGGTGCCTTTAAATTATCTGCGCACTCTTTCAGAATCATTTCCGTTAGTATCCATTCCAGTAGCCTTGTTGGACTTCAGTTTTGTGAGCTCCTTCTTAACACTTGTGGAATCAAATGTAGTGCGAGGCTCTGTATTGGTGGGTAAGGTAGAGGGAGTGTGTTAGGTTATGAGGAGCTGAATTCAGTGTTGAGTTTGACTACAGCTTCGGTGCTGAGTGTTCCGTAGGAATGTTCTCCAGAGTGCTGTCTTAGAAGTCTCCACAGTTCACGGCAACTGTGCTTACTTAAATCGGTCTGAATGCATAGACTGTTTAATCTTCCTGCTTCAGCTTTTCTAGCCCCGGATATACGTTTAACATGGACAGTTAGTTTAAGTTCTTTTTTCCTCCGCAGTTGCTTGAGCAACGGAGATGCAAATCTGTCATTTCATAAATAGCACGACGGGTGTACGCCTATTGCTATAATTTTATTTTCATAGCAAACTTCTAAAGGCGTACACACAGCGCAGGCCTCATTACGTTCCACTGGAAGCTCAATTCATGTTTGTTCGGATTATCCATTTTTTCGTACATAAAAACTTCAACTGAGCACGTTGTACGCATGCATACTGGAATGCATAGCGGCCAGCTGAATTGCGGTCTCACAACTCAGTCACAAATTCAAGTTTTCTCACTCGTCTACTCAAATGGTATGGTCTACATCCCTGTTGCACCCAGTTCGGTGGTAAATCAGTAGTGTTCCATGGTTCGCCATGTCGTCTGGAACAGACTGTGGTACGTGTTGCCGAAATCGCCTTTGCCTCTTGACAAGCCCGCGCGTCATCTTACGCAGACTTCACACAGTCATACTAAGCACCACTGTCCTGTTTCACATTCTTAATTATTAGGTGACACCACCAACTGCCTCAGGCAAATGACCCTCCTATCCCGAAACTCATCCGCAGCTGTTGGTGGTTTCTGGCCGATCAGGGAATAGTTAAGAGAGATCATTCGAGCTACTTCTGCATGTAAACCAGCCTAGTCCAAATTACTAGCTGTCTGTCTTCATTCCTGACTCATTTTGCTTACACCGGCAGGTCTTTGGGAATCTCACACTGTGTATTGCCGTGAGCCGTGACTCATCTCATTCGTTGTTTATCAGCCTATTTTCTGAAACATCTTCAATGTTAAGGAGCACTCGACGTCACAGTCTTATATGGTCGTGTTCAATTAACGTGTCTAACTAACCTATGGGGATGTGTGGACCTCCACGCGGCACGCGGGCGCGCATGTAAACTTGTTTCCACTAATGGTCAGCACCCCGTTTGTTTGCCACGGGATTCGACTACCGTACTAAACATCACATGGATTGATCGGATGCAGAAGTGCCTACTTCACCTGCTTCAGGCTGTCAATATATTTTCTGCAGAACCCATCCTCGGATCTACCTTGTGATGAATTCATCGTGTGCGATCCCCAATTCCTGGCACTGTTTTTCAACCTGAATCGTGCTGGCGAGGAGTATGTGTGGGGTAACTACTACTCCGCTGTGTTGTTGTCCTAGCGCCGTAAGAACAAAATAATCCAACAGTGGGTGTAGTACCATCACAAGAAGACTTCGAAAATGCCGTATCCCATATAATTGGAATGTCTGAACTTGTGTATGGGTATCTGATGGCTACGGCGACTGTTACAGGAATTTTGAATGTATTTGCCAGCCGTTTATCTTCAGACTATATTTTCTCATGAGACTGGTCACTCTACAGGGAGGAATTATTTCTGATAATATGCTAAACTCAACACTCATTTCCTGTCAGCGCCGACTACCAACTAGCATTTGCTAGCACAATCTTACACCCAAATAGACAACCAAGGTGTTCATCGTGATTATTTTGCCTTTTTACCGCACTGTCGATCATGCCGAAACGATTACGTACAATTCGACCGTTCATTTGCCTTCAGCAACACTGATTTTATTCTCTGTGCTTCTTTGAATTTGAGTCGGCCAATTTTATCTTTGATTGGTAATCATTCATGCCTCCATCAGCAATATCATCTTCACAGAAATTACAAGTTTTTGTTAGCTTGCGTTTCCTCTTACTGAAACTGACACTTGTGCTGCATCTGGCAATGGCAATCCAGCATAATTTTGCGCATGTCGTCTATTCTAACGTAACGCGTTACCCTATCCTGTGAACCGATGGCCGATCGAGCAATATATTTTTCTCCAACTAGTTCGGTTCTATCTGGCTTGTCAACCATACTCCGAGTACTGAATCACATCTGATCATGATGCTATAGCTCACGTCAACTTGATCGTGAGGACTGCCTACGGATAATTGTCGAATAAAACCTAATGGGAAATATGATTGTGCAATTGGTGTTTTGAATTGGGCGAATCGTGATTCGATGTAGAAAGTGGAATTTAACAGCGTCACTGATTCATCAACTGTGCCACGTCAGACGACTTTTTGAGTCCACTATGTTGTGCCCTAGAATTAACGCATATTCACACGAGTTATCCACTGATGTTAACAAGGTACACGAGGTGACGCCACACACTTGAGCGCTAAAAAGTGAATCGATGTGTGCCAGATAAATAAGTGCCTAATCTGATCGCGGCAAACCGTATTGATGGAACCGAGGCATAGTCACTCACGTTTGAAACAATGCGTCTCCCTAATCCATTTACTGAACGCAGAAAAAATCATAAGTCGCGAAATGTTAACATTTCAATTTCTCTCATCAGCCGTGAACGCAGTACGATTAGGAATCAACAGAAGCGAACATGTGGAACCCGAATGAAAAGAAATGATCAATCAAAACCAAGGCATTCTCACAGATCGCTTCAGTTGCTTCTGTGCACACAACACTGGGCGATACTTCGAGATAAGTAAAGCCTCAGTGACAGCCAGTCCTTTTGGGTTATGATCGCACGCCAGTATTTTGAACGTGGTCGTTTGATCCATCTGATGACGAGTCATTACGAGATGCCTCACAATGGACGAGGCAGGATTGCGATTCATTAGTTTCTCCGCACCAGTTTACTGCGCCAACGCTTGCCGTAGCCAACTTGGTAGGTGTTCCGCTATCCTTAGGGCTAGTCTGCGGTCAGTCCTGCCCATATAGATGTCACCGCAACTGCAGGTGAACTGCTAGACTACATGTGAGGCCGCACTGCCTAACAGGCCTTTCGGATGACAGTTGAGACCCAGTCTTCGCGTGCTGTGAACTAGTCGCAACTGGGCGGCGGTGTAGGTATGCGAGAACGCAGACCTGATCTTATGCTTGATGTCATTAGCCAACATCCATTTTTTATGCTGTTTGTACCGTTGGTTTCTCCTTGGGCGGTCGGCTATGGACCTGGATGAACCCGTCCGGGTACCCATTCGACAATAGAATTTTATGTACAACTCTTCTTCGGCCTTATGCGTGTTTGTAGTGCACATTTGTCTGGTTCTGTATGTATGCAACTGGAGCGAAGCTAGAGAATTGCAGGTACTGCCCACTCTAAGTCGCTTTTCGAAAGACGTTGCGCTGAAGTGTGCCATCCGTCCGCCTTCTAATGAGCACGTCCAAAAACGGTAGACTGCCTTGCTGTTCAATCTCATGTATCACAGAGAGATTAGGGTGCGCGGAATTAAAGAGGGTACCAAGTCGCTCAAAATGCTCGCCTTTAGTAGAGATTAGTTTGTCATCCACATACCGCTTGTACAGCTTCGCTTCCTTTGTCGGTGGGAAGACTGTTGGAAGCCCAAACGCGGCGAGTGGATCTGTGCCACAGATAAACAGTTTCGCGCGCCCCCGGCATTGGAACACCGGTGCCTCGGAATCGATCAGAGCATTTTAGCCGAAGGACTTGATGTATGGACAGATGGCTGTTGTTGCATGTGATTTGGATCAACGACCTACTCAGTTTGGAGAATTCGTATTAATTCTTTGAGTAGCTGTACAATTGCTGTAAAGACGTGGAACTGATATTAAATTAGTATTGTTTTCATTCGAGGAGGAGCACCGAGCTGTTCTGTCAGCTGGACGAACCCTAGACGCCCTTTGATTACATATCCTTTGAATAGCTTTTATTCAGTTTATCCACAGACCTACTTGTTGACTATCCTCTATTTTGGTATTGGGTCACTGTTAAGACATCAAAGGATTCGCTGTTTTATTCAGAAACAAGTTTCACCGCAACGCCATTTTCTTCATAGTGCTTAGTCGGCTATGCTATGGTATTTATAGGATATGACGTAGTACAGCAGGCATTATTTTTCGGTTTCCATGCTGAAATAAGCAACTTTATGAACTTATTTCTTTGTCGATTTCTGTGCTAATGTGGACCAAATTAACACGGCAAACTCCCCATTCCTTCTTGCAGATTTACGACTGGTGCTACCAGTGCAGTTGATCGGCTACGGTGTGTGCTGCTTTTCATCTTGTTCTGTTCCATTGTTTCGTTTTCCTTTTTACCCCTCTTTCATTCGCACACGGTGCGCTGTTTCTAACTCGCGTGCTTTCTGTCTGTAGGTCGGCAAAACTATTTTCAACCGTGCCGCTTTGTTCAACGTTGGTTTTCTCGAGTCCGATCGGTTGGCCCAATTCGATTGTTTTATCTTCCATGATGTGGACTTACTTCCTCAAGACGATCGGATTCCGTACCGTTGCACCGAACAACCAATCCACTTATCCGTCGCACTGGATCGATATAACTACAAGTGCGTCTATCTGCCTGTATGTCTTTCCTGCGTTTCAGGGATTGTTACATCTGTTGACTTTTTTCCTTCCTGGTGTCTCAGACTGTTTTTCCGGCTGCGCTTTGTGGTGACCACGCATGTATCGCATTTTTCATTGCTTTGTCGCAATTACAGTCACTCGATTGACTACCCGAAGTGTTTAAAATCGGTGACGCAAATGTGCTCGACACGGCAACATATGTCTTTTATTTGGCCGGTGTTCATGTCTGTACCGAGTTCACCATTTATTCATTTGTCCGCACACTGCGATCGGATCGACTTAGGGTCACTCAGGCCGTTCGAGGAACCTTTTCTGACTGCCACTGCTGGTCTGTTCGTCAAAGGTAGGTTTTGAAAGTCAAACACCATCGTTTTGGGAATAACGCACTCTGTTTCCGCATCCAGGAGTATTTGCGGACTTTGATACACATCTCTCTGCTCAGACTGAATGCCTGTAGAACAATATTCAGCGCAACTACTTCCTGGCGCCTTGTTCTGCTCGCCTGTGACCAGAACTCATTCACTAGTGAGACAGGCTGCAGGCCCATTGGGACTCATTTCACCTACTCTGGATCCGTTAGAGTCAGTCTCCTAATCCTTTGCTCCTTGCCTATTCCTCCAATTTCTCTCTTGCACTCATCGTCTACCACTAATCTCCACCATTTTCCACTTACCACACCAGGTCATTAGCAAACAGTTCGTTCGGATTTAGCGTCGCGCATCTTTAACATTAACTCCATCAAAGTATCTGTGCTCCATATATCCTCGGCCAAGCAATAACATTTCTGCAGCTTTTGCAATCGAACTTATCTTTTATGTGCACCCCAAAAACCATTGACCCAATGCATCTCACTAGATTAACCTGTACTGAGAATGTATATTTCTCGACTGTGGTTCGGAATTTTAGCATACTAATCGTAATGATGGAAAGTCATCTATCGGTACAGTTGATATCTTTTATGAGACGTCAGCGAATGCCTTTTACGTATTGAGAAATACGGTGACCCATTGATCGCCATCATCATGAAGCATACGAGGAATGTTCAAAAAGAAACCGAACTTTTGCTATAACATCTTTGTTGCTCATTGCACAAAATTTTAACCACTTTCTTAAGGTAGTTCCCTCTACTAGCAGTTCAATGTTCCCAACGATGCTTCCATTTTTGGCAAGTCTCCTAGAACGCATTTTCTGGGATGACGCGCAGGTCACTTGTCGCATTGTCCTGAATCTTCTCTGTGCTTTGGAACCGACGTCTTTTCAACGTGGTTTTAAGTTTAGAAAACATGAAAATGTCTGCAGGGGCTAGTTCCGGAGAATACGACGGATGGGGCACAACGGGGGTGTGATGTTTTTCTAGATAGCTGGGGACAAGGAGCAACGCGTAAGCCGGCGCTTTGTCATGATGCAACATCTAAGTCTGGTTTTCCAACAGTTCAGGCCTCTTCCTACGCAAAGCATCCATCAAACAGGGTAGAACTTGATGGCAGGATCCTACGCTGATGTCCGCTTCGTCAGCAACTTCTCGAACAGTTAAAGGACAATTTCCACGGATCACAGCACAAACTCTTTCCACATGGTCATCGTCTGTTGATGTGGAAGGCTTTCCAGGCTTGGGATCATCAGCGACCGACATTCTGCTGTGTTCGGAACACTTAAACCACTTATAGCACTGCATGCGACCCATACACTCCTCCCCGTATTCTCGGACAAGCAATGAAAATGTCTGTAAAGGCTTTGTCAAGTTTATAGCAACATTTCACGCGCGCACACGTTGTGCTTCAAGCTCTTTCATTGTCTATTTGTCAGTAATCCGACGAACAACTTGTGCACGTGCTCACTTCAGCGCTGTAACTCCCAAACCAATAGAAGTGTGTATTCTCGTCTGCGAGAGACTGAACCCGAGGGCCAGATCAAAACGCACAGACGCATCATGCTAATGCATGAGGTTTTCAGGTGTTATTAGTCATGTGTTTTGTAACTGTGGGATTCCAACCGGGCAGATGACCGCTCGCATTGTGAATGCTAGGTTGCAGTTTGTCTTCTCTGTGAGTTTGCGTTTTCCAACCACGACCCAGCGTACAGAAGCGCGTTTTCATTTTCTTCCTCCAGCTGGGCAAAGCAGCCAAACCAATCTCCCGATAATGTGTAAATAGAGCAGTAGAATTAGGTTAAACGAGGGAAATAAAACAAATGATTGCAATAACGAGAGGCAAAAAATCATAAGGCTAGACATACGTTTTTCTATGTTAAGCGTAATATAATGCAACTGGATAAAGCAATTCTTTAAGCATGCACAATATATGCAGTATGCCGTTTATACAGTGAGTGACCTTGTAGGGCGACCAAACGGATTGGACTACCAGCCTAGAGCTTTCTAAAGCGAAACATTGGAAAAAATAAAAACAAACAAGCCAAGTGCAGCAAACAGGCGGTGCTCTACCTTATAATGACAAAATAAATGTGATATTTTCGACAGTTTGCAACTTACGAAAAACTGCGAATAATGTCCTACGTTAATTTTCGCTACAATTGCGGTTTTGCTTTCCAAGCAAATCGCGAAAAGAAATAAAAACTTGAAAAATAGTGCGGATAGATAGAGTCTAGGTAACAAGCATCTAATAAGCCGGGGCACAGCACAGAAGTAGCGATGGTTACGACATGTGACCTGCAAGAACGAAAAAGCTGGTTTTTCTTACGTACCTAAATGAAAATAAAAAAATTAACGCGAGTAACTTCACGATCATTTTAGACGATCCATGCGGGACCTCACGTAAACGCAGTATCTGTGAATTCGCCTCAATTAGTCCATGATAAGATGAGCCCCTCGAGCATTCTTTTGAGGATACTGAGACAGCGTAATGCAGTGAGGGAAAAATATACTTTTCCTATACCTTCAAGTGATCGAGAGTATAGTGCAGGGCAACATAAACCTTGACCACATGGAGACAGCAGGCCAGCTCAATATTCATTTGGCCAATATGAGCTCATCTGCCTGCAATTCATGTAGTAGAGACTGCAAAATCTACCACTGTTTTTACGTTCTAGATAACAAAAGGCTTCGGTCCGCTTTACTCTTGAGATACAAGGCTTAGGCCAACTAAAGTAAGTAGATAAGGAGAGAAAAAATAGGAAGCAGTCTGTAGTGTCGATAATTTCGCTTCGACCGTTAAGCAGGATCTTGACGACCATGACTCTAAGACCCTAGGATTGAATTAGGTGGGAATATAGGTTTTCCTCGTATTTGAGTACACAAGCGTCCACCATTATACCATTTTCGGCGCTCCCCTTTACTGTTTTGTAGGTGGGATGTAGGTGGGTCATTATCTAGCAGTGGAGGTTCGGCTAACGTAAGCTCGAATGTATCGTGCGCAAGCGCACTTGTGGTTTTGCTGGTTCTGGCTGTTCCACTGCGCCTGGCATAATGAATGAATAATATTATAAGTTAAGAAGAGCAAGGTGTCTTAAAATGCAGGATCTGATTGTCCACCCACCACTACGCATGAGTTTCATCAGCTCATGCTGGGCATCGGTGCCAGGTAAATGGCAAGTTTCGTAATGATGGCCAAGGTAAGATGAAGTGGTGATCAAAATGTTCTGCATGTCCAGCTTTCCGACATGGCAGTGGCACTCTGACACATGGCAAGCTTTCAAGCCAGTAAAGAGAATATGAAATGGTCAAGATGTAAGAATGGCCGAAAAATGGGATCTGGTTTTTGTGCTTCCGGTCAGCCAATGTTTCCAATACCGATTGGCGAGCATTTGAATCAGATAAAATCTAAGCGGAATGGGACCAAGTTAGGAGAAAGTGGGTTCACAAAAACCTAGGCCTCAAACTATTTCTGCTAGTGGACCGTTGACTATCCATTTAAGATACTTCGTTTATTATCGAGCAAATAAAGCAAACCGGATTTAAGCAAAGGAAGTTAGGCATAATAAGGAGACTAATAACAGTAATAAGGTACTAGGGTTATACAAGCTCCCGCAATTACGCGTAGTTTGGGAGCTAGCTAGGAGGAAACTTGGTGCGCGTCTGGGATTATGAATAGATAGGCGTGGGAATGAGAACGTAAAATTAAAGTAGAATATATGAGATAAATAAAAATGTTATAGAAGAAACTTGGCCTTTCCCGGTAACATGCCGTCTTGGGATCGGCTTCCACTAAGGCTTACATCTAGTGAGATGCAACAAGTAAGCGAATTTCTTAAACGATATGTAAAAGGAGATAAAGGAGTAGAGTTGAGATGGACAACTACGAGGTGTTCGGGTGGTCTCAGACTGTCAATGCGAATGTGATTACCAGTGCAGGTCGCTAGCCTGGTGAGCTCGGAAAAAGTAGGATATAAGGATGATGGATAGGACAAGTTCCAACCTGCGATGCACTCCCGGGCTTCGGTGCTACAGTCCATCTAACATCCTACTTAAGCATTGGTACCATTCGGTCTATATGAGAGTTAAAGAATGGGATCAAGTTACAGGAAGGGCTAGAGGTGAGAATATGGTCCTGGTTCTACAGGGGGGTAACTCGGTGGACATTAATAAAAGAATTCGAGTTGTGGAAAAAATGAAATTGAGACGTAGCTCAGAACAGGCATTCCTGGGAAATAGTAGGGTGGGGGTGCCCGGTCCACGAAGAGATGAGAGCCACCCATCTTCTTATACTCGACCAGAATATCATGAGATTGATATGCACGCTGGCAATACATTACTAAGCGGTCTAGGTGGCTAAATATAGAAGGGCCAATCTGAAAATACTAGGCGTTAAAAGCAGTATAGGGCAGCTGTGTAGGGATGGTTCATCTGTTTACTTAACCACAACCACACAGCAGCCCTCCAACCAAACTAAAAGTAGGAGAATAGTAAAGGTTCGGTAGGATGTGGAGCCACCCATATACACGAGGTCACCTATACTATAGTACTGTTGGCACTTCAACTTTTGTGACGAATCGGAGAAACATAGGGTAGGATCGAATAAAGAAGGCC